TACTCAATGGGCAAAAACTAAAAGCATTTCTCTTAAGAATAGCAACAAGACAGGGATGCCTACTTTTGCCACTCTTATTTAACATAGTACTGGAAATGTTAGCCACAGCAATTAGACAAGAAGGAAAAATAAAAGGGATCCAAACTGGGAAGGAAGAAGTGAAACTGTCAATATTTGCAGATGACATGATATTGTACATAGAAAACCGTAAGGACTCCATCAAAAATCTACTAGAGCTAATAAATGAATTTGGCTAAGTAGCAGGATAGAAAAATTAACATAAAAAAATTAATGGCATTCTTATACACCAATAATGAACTCACAGAAAAAGAAACTAAAAAAACAATCCTGTTTACCATTGCAGCAAAATAACTAAGATACCTAGGAATAAACTTAACCAAAGAAGTAAAGGACCTGTTCTCAGAAAACTACAGGACATTGAAAAAAGAAATAGAAGAAGATATAAAAAAGTGGAAGCATATACCTTGTTCATGGATTGGAATAATTAACATCATTAAAATGTCCATACTACCCAAAGCGATCTATTGATTCAATGCAATCCCCATTAAAATACCAAGGCATAGTTCATGGAACGACACCAAATACTCAGAAGTTTACATGGAACCAAAAAAGACCCCAAATAGCCACAGCAATCTTGAATAAGAACAAAGTAGGAGGGATCACAATACCGGATTTTCAGGTTATACTACAAAGCCGTTATAATCAAAATGGCCTGGTGCTGGCACAAGAGCAGGCATATAGATCAATGAAACAGAATAGAGAACCCAGAAACTGACCCAAGACATTATGCTCAATTAATATTTGACAAAGGTGGCAAGAGCATACAATGGAGTAAAGACAGCCTCTTAATAAATGGAAAAATTGGATAGCTACTTGCAAAAAAAATGAAGTTAGACCACCAACTTATACCATACACAGGAATAAACTCAAAATGGATAAAAGATTTAAATGTGACTCCTGAAGCCATAAAAATCCTAGAAGAAAATGTAGGCAACAAAATTTTAGACATCACACACAGCAGCATTTTCTGATACAATGCCTAAGGCAAGAGAAACAAAGAAAAAAAAAAATACATGGGACTACATCAAACCAAAAAGCTTCTGCAGAGCAAAAGAAACAAGCATCAAAATGGAAAGGGAACCAACTATATGGGAGAGCATAACTGCCAATGATACATCAGATAGGTGGTTAATTTCCACAGCATATTCTATATATTCCAAAATATATAGAGTACACATACAACTCAACAAAAGGAAGACAAAGAGTCCAATTAAAAAATGGGCAGAGGACCTAAATAGACACCTCTCCAAACAGGACATACAAATGGCCAAGAGACATATGAAAAAATGCTCAATGTCACTAATCATCAGAGAGATGCAAATTAAAATGCCTATGAGGTATAACACCTCACACTTGCCAGAATGGCTGCCATCAACAAATCATCAAACAACAAGTGCTGACGAAAGTGTGGAGAAAAGGGAACTCTAGTACACTGCTAGTGAGAATGTAGACTGATGCAGCCAGCATGGAAAACAATATGGTGTTTCCTCAAAAAATTAAAAATGGAACTGCCATTTGACCCAGTGATCCCACTTCTAGGAATATATCCTAAGAAGCCTGAAACACCAATCAGAAAGAATATATGTACCCCTATGTTCATAGCAGCACTATTTACAATTGCTAAGATCTGGAAACAGCCCAAGTGTCCATCAATAGATGAGTAGATAAAAAAGCTGTGGTACATATATACAATGAGTACTATGCAGCTGTAAGAAAGATCTCTTATCCTTTGAGATGACATGGAGGGTCCTCGAGAGTATCATGTTAAGCAAAATAAGCCAATCACAGAAAGACAAATATCACATGATCTCACTTATTTGGGGAATATAATGAACAATACAAGCTGATGAACAAAACAGAACCAGTGACATAAAAGTAGAGTACAGACTGACAAACCTCAGAAGAGGGGGACAAGGGGTGGGATGTGGAAGGAAGAGATAAACCACAGAACTTATATGCATGTTTGCATAACCAATGGACATAGACAATAATCCTGGGGGGAGGGGGGGCAGGATCAAGAGGAGGTTGTCAATGGGGGAAAAAGGAGAAACATCTGTAACAAAAATAAATTAATAAAAATTGCAAAAAAAAAAAAAAGTTTAACTTCTAGAGACAAAGTTTCAAGGACTCAGAGTTGTACCATGTTCAGAGATGGACAGGTCTGTATTAAAAAAACCTAGAGGAATTCTTACAAAGTTGTATTGCGAGGAGGGACGTATCAAAACAAAAAACTAGAATGTACAGGGACCCTAACTAATTAAAATGGGTGGGAGCCCTGGCTGGTTTGACTCAGAGGTTAGATCATCAGACTGTGAACCAAAGAATCGCAGGTTCGAGTCCAGTCAAAGGTATGTATGTCAATTGTGGTTCTGGCCCTGGTCCTGTCAGGGTGGTGCGAGAGGCAACCAGTCGATGTGTCTCTCTCACATCAATGTTTCTCTCGCTCTCTCTCCTTCCCTCCCTCCCACTCTATCTGCAGATAAATGAAAAAATGTCCTCAGGTGAGGATTAAAAAACAAAAAAGAAAAACAAAAAAAAAGAAAAGAAAGGGTAGGGATATGACACACATGCATATACATGGATGTGCAGGCACTTTATTTCATTTCTCTGTGTCTTGATTTCCTTATCATTAAAATAGGAATAACAGAACCTACTTCATAGGGCTATCATCAGGATTAAATAAGAAATTTTTCATATATATAATTGTCATTATCCCTGGTAGGTAATGCTTAACAAAGTTAGCTATTATTTGTTATCATGAAACACTGAGAGGTACAGTAACCTGCTCAAGATCACATCTGGATTTTGTACCTAGGATGTATGGCTTTAGACACTGCAACCATCAACCCCTTACCTTGCTGGGCTAGATCTGTACAATGAAGACGTCAGATCAGATGATTACTAAAGTCCCTTCTAGAACTGACATTTTATTCTACCAGCAGCCCTCTAATCAACTTATTTCAGGGCAGCAATAAGAAAAACATAACCCTGCTCACACTTCTATGTACCAGCAAGCTAAAGTAGGGAAGTACAGCTTAGAGGTTCACAAATTCCCTAAAATCTTTCCCTAGACATTTTTTCTTTACAATCCTCACCTGAGGATATGCTGAGAGAGAGAGAGAAAGAGAGAAAAACATCTATGTGAGAGAGAAGTATCAATTGGTTCCCTCTTGTACGAGTCTCGACCGAGAATCAAACCTGCAACCCTTAGGTGTATGGGACAATGCTCCAATCAATTGAGCCACCAGGCCAGGGCAAAATCTTTCCCGATACTTTAAGTATCTCGGAACTAAACCTATCTGGTTCCAGGCTTGTCCTCCCAGGGGATTCAGAATTACCCCAAGATATGTGTTGGACTTGCTAGGCATCTGTGTTTTGGAAACAAATCATGTATTGCAACTCAACATAATGGATCCTGCATGAAAAAGAAAAAGGGCCCTTTCTTCCTCCCCCACACTAACTTGCACTGAGATTCAAAGGGAAGATCTGTAATTTAATCCCAAAATACCAGTAGATGAAGAACAGGACCCCAAGAGTATTTCATGACCCTTTTCTGCTTCATACCTATAAAATCACAGTGAACCTCAGAAGAGTTTAAAGAAACAGGTAAAAACAGTCTAGTTCCCACGACACTGTGCTCTTCTGTTTATAAGAAAGGAATCAATCAAGATGGGCAACTAGCCTTATTAGATGACTTTCCTCCTATATGGACTTTGAAAACTATACACACCAAAGAAACCATATAACCTTATCCATAACTGAAGAAATAATCAAAGCACAATAATACTTTCCCCCTATAAGACTAAGCAACAGTTTAAGTATTGGTGAGAGTCTAAAGAAACGTGTGATCTTATGCACAGTTGATGGGCTTATAAATCAGTACAGTCTTTGGTGGTGGCGGAACAATTTGACAATTTTTATGAACAATGTAAAAACACACACCCCAGCCCTGGCCAATTTGGCTCAGTGTCAGCCTGTGGTCCAGAGACCCGGGTTAGGTTCCCACTAAGGGCATGTACCTTGGTCACAGTTTGTCCCCGGCCCTGGCTGGGTCGTGCAGGTGGTAACCACTCGATGTGTCCCTTTCACATCGATGTTTCTCTCTCTCTCTCTTCTTCTCTCTCCCTCCCACTCTATCTGAACAACAACAACAAACAAAAAAACACACACCCTTTGAAGCAGCAACTCTGTACATATATTTCTGCAAAGGTAGGCCAAGATAAATGTGCAACCAGGTTTAATGCAGCATTGTCTATAAGAAGAAGTCCTAATTGTTGAGGAAATCATATAGAGTATCATGTAGCCATTAAAACAACGTGCTATGTCTGTAAGTACTCATATGAATAAAGTTCCAATACATATTATTAATTGGAAAAAAAAGTTGAGAACAGTGGGCATTATTACATGATTCTTTTGGTCTAAATTTTTAAAAAGACATACATACATGCTATTATATGCAATAAAATATGTTCCGGAAAGACACATAAGAAACTGTTCACTGTGGTTACCTTTGGAGAGAATGACTACAGACAAGGAAGGAGAAGAACCATAGTAATGTATAAACATTTAGAAAACTTACAAGTAACAGAGATGAAAAAGCAAAAGCTCCCAGACATCTGGGGAACTGGGGCTGAAGACAGAAGGCAGTACTGAAGGGAGGCTCTCACTAATACTTCATATATTTGCCTAGAATTGACCTGTCCAGAGTCCAGAGTCCTACTCAGCAAGGAGTATGATTTCTCACACTGCATGCCCCTTGGGAACATGGCTCCCCTAACTTCAGAGATATCAGTATATGTTAGGAGATGTCCAACTGAGATCAACTGCCAAACAGGTTCTCATAACCCTTGCTGGCTGATCATATTACCGAGAGTTGAGGTAGGGAAAAGTTTTAACATTTTATAATTAAAGAGGCTTACCTCTGAGGTTTTCGAATATCCCAAAGTCCCACTCCTTCCTTTGAATTGGCTGTGGCCAATAACCTAGGCTCCACAGGGTTAAACATGACACTGTGAAAGGCCGATGGATAGTTTGCCAGGCAGAAAGGCTCTGTGAAGAAAGAAACAATTATCAGTCCATTTTGGGCACCTTTGTGCAAGGGGTAGGCAGACAAGCAAGAAAGTAAATGTGAGTAGGAGCACACCCTTTAATAACCATGCCAATGGCTGAAACCCCAATTCAGTCACCCTTATTCACAAGGTTCCCACAAGTCCTAGCACACACTTCCTGAAACTTAGAAAAAAGCAACTTAAATACATATAAAGAAACTTTAAACTATAATATTCAGAAATACATATAGGACCTATTCAGATCCTGTGATAAAAAAGATATGGTCACTGTAAATTAAAAGTAAACTGTTTTACAGTAAGTAAAACTGTATTCCATCTGAGATGAAAAAAATCATGACCAACTACTGGTAGGATTATTATACCTTAATCCAAATTTATGAGTTTTAGATATTAAAAGTTTTGCCCTGGCCAGTGTGACTCAGTTGGTTGAGTGGTCACCAGTTCAATTCCCAGTCAAGGGCACATACCTGGGTTGCAGGTTCAATCCCCAGCCCTGGTCAGGGCGTGTGCAGCAGGCAACCAATCAATGTTTCTCTCTCATATTGATGTTTCTCTCTCTCGCTCTCTCTTTTTAATTAAAAAAAAATTTTTTTTATCCTCACCCGAGGACATTTCTGCATTTATCCTCAGATAGAGCGGGGGGGGGGGGGGGGGGACAACAATATGAGAGAGACACATTGAGTGGCTGCCACCCACACAATCCCAACCAGAGCCGAGGACAAATCACAACTGAGGTATGTGGCCCCAGCAAAAACCAAACCTGGAACTCTCCGGTCTGCAGGCCGAGGCTCTAATCGCTAAGCCAACCCAGCCAGGGCTCTCTCTCCCTCTTTCTCTAACCCACTCCCTTCCACTCTCTCTAAAAATCAATGGGAAATTATCCTCAGGTGAGGATTCACACACACACACACACACACACACACACACATCAATAAAAATATATTTTAAAAATGACATCCTGTGGAACTTGGTTAGAAACAATAGACAGCATTCCCCAGTCTATAATTTCCATATGTGACACTTCACAGGCCCGTGTGGTGGTGGGGTAGAGGGGTGGGACTCAGTCATCTCAGCCAGCAGGTAGTTCAGATAAAGGAGAATTTCACCTACCAAGCACATGGTGACTCAACCACAGCTGCTGCTTACAGCTACCTTACCTGCCTGACCCTAAGAACAAGCTTCTCTTATAGCCTGAACCTTAACAACAGGCACAGCCCAGCATGTTAAATGCTCAGAATACAGAATAAAAAAAGACCCAGATCCTGGCAGACAAGGCACACAGGAAAGTAACTCTACGTACACAAATATAATCATGACAAAGCTGCACCAAGGGTGGGGGTGGGGTGGCAATGAGGGTAGTACTGGAGGAAAGAGCCTTTGAAGACAGGCAGAGTTACAGAGACAAATCTCTCTGCAGGAAATGAGCTGAAAAGATGCATTTCCCAAAAAACTTAAGAGAACTTCAACAAAATAATTCTTCATTTTACATTCCAGAGACTTAAAGAATACATTTGGAGAAGGAACTCCCCCAGATAATCCCCTGTAAGCCGAGTGTATATGCCATTATTTTAAATTCCTATACAGTTAAAGTAAGGTTCTGTGGTTCTTTCAGCAAAATAACAAGCCTGAAATTAGGATTCAAGCAAGTGCAAAACACCTCCTTCTATGTAAATAACCAAGAACGTGTGCATGTCAGAACCACATAAAGCTGGTCCGTGCTTGCTGAGCTCCACTAGAAAGGCACCACATCTTCTGTTCCTTGGGGCCACTAAACACCAAGATACTTTGGTGTTTACTATGGGTACAAGGGTTTACGGAGATTCATAGGTAGCTAGAAAGGGCTGGAAAGGACTGGGAAAAGACCTCACTTCTGACTACTTAGGGGTAAGGTGGGACCTCCAGAAACATACATCTATTCCCCTAGTGAGAGTTTCCTTTCCCTTTAAATCACTCCCACCCAGGTTAATCAGGTCATAAATTGGATCTGCAAAGAACTTGATTTCAAACTCTTCAACACAATCCAACAGCATTTTGCACAGTGATCCTACCTCCATGGGGAGACTCTCGTATGTCCCAGATGAGAACCCGGCCATCATCTGAGGAGCTGGCAAAAATGTTGTCATTCACTGGGCTCACTGACAAGCCATATACTGCATCTTCATGAGCAAACACATCCAAGGTCTCGCTGCTAAGACAGAGAGCAGAGAGAGGCACACAGGCACACACATACACACAAACAGCACAGAGTCCCAGTCGTCTACTCTAATTCCTATGGTAGGATTCCCTTTCATTTCCAGGAGAAAGTCAACTTAACTAAACCCAAAGAATAGTATAGTTCCTTTAAAAGTAGGTATTCAACTTTCAGGTGAAAAAATAAAAGTACATTAAAGAGACTTTTTGTAGATTTCATGGTAAGTTTGCTTTTTGCGCTAAATGAGCATATTTAAAAGTGACTCAACAGACGAGTTTCATGTTTTCACATACCACAGAATGCATCTGCTTGTGAAAAGATTTGGGGGTGCAGTTTGATTTCCAAAAAGGAAGGGAAAGCTTTAAAGCAACCAGGTCTGATGCCAGCTAGGTGAAAGAGGGATCTACTGGAAGTCTGGCACGGTGAATAAGAGCTCTGAGGCCAAGTTGCCTAAGTTCAGACCTAGCACCATGTGACCTCAGGTTTCCTCAGCTGTAACTGAGATAATAGTACTGCCTCATATAATTATTGGATTAAATTAATACATATAAAGCACTCATAAATATTAGTCATTATTATTATTATGATGTTTCTTTACCCTCCAACTCTCCTTTTAAGTTTTCATCTGAAAGCTTTATTTCATACCAAGTCTGCAAATCTTTTTCTCTTTTAAATCAAAATTTTATTTTAAAACTATTACAGGAATCTTCTTCAAAAAAGGACCGCTGGTTTCATGTTATTTTTTAAAAAAACAAAAACTACTTTGGTCTAAAGAAATATTTGCCTCTCTTCACAGGAAAAGTAGAGTCAATCATCTTCATATATTGACAATCTATTTACCTTTCAACATCATGGAGGATAACTTGTTCATCATTTCCTGTAAGGGGAAAAAGAAGACGTTTGATCATTCCTGCAAAGTGATCCCTGTCCATATTACAATTTAGTATTTTAAAGTTTTCATGAAAAAGTAAATGTGAACAAAGTCAATGTTAATACAAATTAGGAATGTTAATTTAAAAAAGATTCATAGCCCTGGCCGGTTTGGCTCAGCGGATGGAGCATTGGCCTGCAGTCCAGAGAGACCCGGGTTCGGTTCCCGCTAGGGGCATGTACCTCGGTTGCAGTTTGTCCCCGGCCCTGGTTGGTTGTGCGGGTGGCAGCCACTCGATGTGTCCCTTTTACATCGATGTTTCTCTCTCTCTCTCTCTCTCTCTCTCTTCCTCTCTCTCCCTCCCACTCTACCTGAACAAAAAATGGAAAAATGTCCTCGGGTGAGGATAAAAAAATAAATAAATAAATAAATAAATAAATAAATAAATAATAAAAAATAAAAAAAGATTCATAAAATAATTTAAGGATAGGATATTCTTTCAGAGAATTATTAAAAGCATAATAGCAACATTATAACAGTTTCCAAAAATGTATTATCCAGTGGATAATATATAAAAAAAACAAAAACAAAACAAACAAAAAAAGCTGTAGCCATTAAGGAAAAAAGTAAATGATCAAGGGCAAATCAATTTAAGCCAGCTTTTTAATTCTTTATTTTTTAAAGCAAAACACTCATTAGTCCGGCCGGTGTGGCTCAGTGGTTGAGCATTGACTCATGCATCAAGAGGTCGCTGGTTCGATTCCAGGCCAGGACACATGCCCAGATTTTGGGCCCAACCCCCAGTGGGGGGCATGTGGGAGGTGGCCAATCGATGTTCTCTCTCCTCGATGTTTCTTTCTCTCTCCCTTTCACTTCCTCTCTCTCTAAAAATCAATAAAGGAAAAAAATAATAATAAAAAATTTTAAAAATAAATAAAGCAAAACATTCATTAACTGTAAGGCCTGGAATAGTATCTGTAATTTTTTTATGCCTCCGTTTTTTTATCTTCAAAATATGTATAATAATTGTACCTACTTCATAGGTTTATTGTGAGGATAAGAGCATATTTGTAAAAGCATTCGGAATAGGGCTGAGCACTTTATGTTTGCTACTATTAACATCCTCGCCATCTCTTATGGCATTAAAATTGGATGACTATATGATTCTAAATAATGTGAAAGTTGTATCCACAACTTTTGTCTCTTGCATTTTTCTTTATCCCATCAAGAAGTCTAAAGATACTACATTCATGATTATGTATAGGGCTGCCTTCAGATAGTTTATATAGCCAAAAAATATTAACCTAAATATGAAAAGACAGAAAGTAAAACACTTCTTGTTCTATGCTGAAAATACAACCAATAGTCATTTAAATAGAAAGTAAAATTAGCATCGGCCCAGGCCATCTTGAATCCCTGGCTGTAAAATCTATTGTGGGTGCATACCAAGTAAATCAAACCCATACTAATTAATGAGTCTTTTAAGTAACAGGTACAGCTGAGGTGTTGGGGATATGAGAATAAGATTCTGCCCAGCCCTTGAGGAACCCACAGTTCAACTGCACAAATAATTAACAGTGACAAGATAATCTTATATCAATATGCTTAAAGTGAGGACACAAAGAAGTAATTATTTCCTTCATGAGCAGGATAAAAGTACATGACAGAAAGGAGGAAGGAGACATTTGAAAAGAAACTCAAATTACTCAAAACTCTTACCAATAGGAGACTTAGGGAAATTTGTGGGAACTGGACAATTAATCCTGACCCAAGGAAGACAGCATGAGCAAAATGCACAAGGGCACCTAAGATGGCAAGTGGTTTAGTGGTCTAGAGTACAAGATGCAAGGGGAAGAAGAGGCCACAGAAAGACTGGGATTTAGACTTTATCCTATGGACACTATAGAGTCAAAAAGATTCACATGGTCAAACTGTTATTTATAAACTCATAGGCACAGACAACAGTATGGTGATTACCAGAGAGAAAGGGAGGTGGGGGAAGGTAGAAGGTATAGGGGGGACAAATGGTGATGGAAGGAGACTTGACTAGGGGTGGTGAACACACAATACAACATACAGATGATGTATTATAAAATTATATACCTGAAACCTATATAATTTTAACAATGTCATCCAATAAATTCAATAAAAGAAAAAGGAAAAAAAACCTTTATTTTTTAAATCCTCACTCGAGGATACTTCTCCATTTATCTTCAGAAAGCTGGGGGGGGGGGCATTGTTGTGAGAGAGACATATCAATTGGTTGCATCCCACACAACAACAACCAGGACTGGGGACCAAACCACAACCGAGCTACGTGCCCATGACCAAAATCAAACCTGCAACTCTTTGGTCTGCAGGCCGATGCTCTAATCAGAGGCAAACTGACCAAGGCAAAAAAACCTTTATTCTAAAAGAAAACTTGTATATGCAATAAATTTGAAGAAGGGTTAAAGATTAGAAGCAGAAATGACAGAAGGACAATACAAGAGTCCAGGCTAAAGATGAGGACCTCAATCAGGGCAGTGGGTATAGAAAGAGAACAGAAACAAAAGAATGAATGAGAGGCTTCCAAGTCTAGTTGGTGACTAACAAAATGTGTAAATGAGAAACAGTCATGCTTGAAGGTGACTTCAAGATTTCTATTAAGTTGAATTATGTGAAACTGTCATTTTTGTAAGTTGAAAATGCTTCAATGCCAGCAGTTTCTTAAAGTTAAACCTAACAGGAAGCATTAAATAAGTGGGTGAATGGGGACAATAACTGGGAAAGGGAATCCAGGGAACAAGAGAAAATATTTGTGCAGAGGAGAACTAATAATCCTGGTTTTAGATCTGTTGCATTGAAACTGTTTCCAGAACACATAGGTAGATATTCAGTGAGGAAATCTGCTGTGCAGAAGAGAGGTCAGGTCTAGAAATTTGCTGGTCAGAAAGGAGTATGGTTGCCCTGGCTGGTTTGGCTCAGAGGTTAGAGCGTCGGCCTGCGGTCCAGAGAGACCAACTTTGGTTCCTGCTAAGGGCATGTACCTCGGTTGCAGTTTGTCCCCGGCCCTGGTTGGGTCATGCGTGTGGCAGCCACTCGATGTGTACCTTTCACGTCGATGTTTCTCTCTCTCTCTTCCTCTCTCTCCCTCCCGCTCTATCTGAACAAGAAATAAAAAAATGTCCTTGGGTGAGGATTAAAAAAAAAAAAAAGAAGTATGGTTGATGGAAGCCATCACCAAGTGGCTGGCTTGAGCACAAGCCAAATTGTACCCTTGTATAATGTTTTTCAAATGGGAGCCATTCGTGGGTCATAAGATTGACTTGAGCTACATGATCTTTAAAAATAAAATAGAACAGTCCAGCCAGTGTGGCTCAGTGGATTGAGCTTTGTCCCATGAACCTGAGAGGTCTCAGTTCGATTCCCTGTCAGGGCACATACCTGGGTTGCAGGCTTAATCCCCAGTAGAAGGTATGCAGGAGGCAGTCACATCAATGTTTGCATCTCTCTCTCTCTCTCTCTCTCTCTCTCTTTCTCTCCCTCCCTCCCTCTCTCTCTAAAAAATCAATTTTTTAAAAAAGTGGAGACTCAATAGTGAATCCATTAAAAAAATAAAATAGAAAAGAATTTTTAAAAATTAGAGCACACTACACATAGTAAGGTTAAGTACTGTTTCAAATATGTGTGTGTGTTTTGAAGTAGCAGATTGCAAATTTAAAAAGTTTTCTACCAAAAAGAGAAAGAATGAGAATGAAAGAATAGAAGGGAGGAAAGGAGGAAGGAAGAAGTGAAGAAAGGGAAAAATGAGGAAGGTAGAAGGGGATGGATGGGTGGATTACTTTAATACACACGTCTAAATTGCTGTAATGCAGAGAAGACAAGCTATGGAAAACTAAGAATTCCACAGAACAATGAAATAAAGAAAAATAAGAAGTTTATTTTAGCACTCCTTTATACAAAATATCAGCCACACTGAAATTTTCCAGTGGGGAAATCTCCCTTCTTCTCACCTCCAGAGAATACTTTGGTGTTCCCACTGTTGAAAGCCAGGCAAAAAATATTAGAATGGTGCTCTCCTTTCAGCTGTATGGGCTTGACTCTGGAGTGGATAGCTTGTTCCATGTGCCATAGCAGAACCCGGCGATCATCTCCTCCTTAAAAGGGGAATAAGAATTTAGGGTTAAAACAGCTGATATTTCAAGGCTGACACTTGGTTTTGCCAGCCTTGAATCCCATCCTTTACAAAACTGCATCTCCCCAATTCCATGAGATTCTGACAGAGCACATAAACCTAGGACTCTGCCCCATTAGCCATCCATAGCCACATGGCCCCTAAGCCACTCACTCCTTCCCCAGGAATTAAACCTTGAACAGACATGGACAGGGATAAGTACTGATATTTAAATCCTCAAATCCACCCTGTTCCTGACTTTCCAGTGAACATAAATATTTCTTCACTTACTACCCAAAATCCTTTCACCAATATATTTTTTGGGGAGTGGGAGTTTTAACAGGCCCTGAGTTGGTTTCTAGTACTTGCAACAAAGAAATTTAAATATTTGTAGCATACTAGTTTTCAAAGCACTCTCCTTGATGTGATCTCATCTACTGTCGGACACCATACAAATGACAACCAAGGAACAGCCGGAACAGCCTGTCACAGTAGCAGAATCTAGATAGAACTTGGGTCTCATGGAGCTCAGTACTGCTCTTTCCTCTGCATAACTCTCAATAGTCTCAATTAAATGAGTAATATTACACTGTGTGAGCCAGCTCCTAAACAATAAGAATATATATGTTCTATGTGTTCTTTACATTTGCAGACACATTAAAAATGTCTGAAAGGCCCTGGTCAGCTTGGCTCAGCGGTTAGAGCATCGGCCTGCAGTCCGGAGAGACCCGGGTTCGGTTTCCGCTCAGCACAGCGTACCTCGGTTGCAGTTTATCCCCGACCCCGGTTGGGGTCGTGTGGGTGGCAACCAGTCGATGTGTCTCTCTCACATCGATGTTTCTCTCTCTCTCTTCCTGCCTCTCCCCCTCCTGCTCTATCTGAAGATAAATGCCAAAAAAAAAAAAAGAGTCTGGAAGAATTAACTACAGACTGTTAACAGTGTTACTACTTCCAGGGAATAAGATTAAAGAGAGGTAGAGCCCTGGCATTTTTGGCTCAGTGGTAGAGCACTGGCCCGTGGACCAAAGAGTCGCGGGTTTGATTCCAGTCAGGGGCATGTACCTCGGTTGTGGGTCGTTCCCAGCACAGGTTGGGTTGTGGTGGGAGGCGACCAGTTGATGTGTTTCTCTCACGTCGATGTTTTCCTCTCTCTCCCTTTTTTACCTCTCTCTCCCTCCCACTCAATCTGAAGATAAATAGAAAAAAAAAATATCCTTAGGTGAGGATTAAAAAAAAGGGAGAGAGGTAGAGGGGCAGGTTAAAAGGTTTTTACTTTTACCTTATATGTTCTTAGGTGAGGCTTTTTAAAAATTCACCTTAAAATAGAGGGTTTTTACTTTTACCTTATATTTTCTTAGGTGAGGCTTTTTTAAAATTCACCTTAAAAAAAAAAAAAGATGTACTTATTTAATGGTGGTGTGGCATGCCTCTGCATGATGTGGATATCCTGTTGTATTAAATGGTGGAGGGGAGGAAGAGGTATAGAGCCTGTTATGGTTTGCTGACTGTGTTTGTTCCTGCTGTAACTTAAATTTTTTTTTATTGTTACTAATCCTCACTAAAGGATCTTTTTCCATTGATTTTTAGATAGAGTAGAAGAGAGAAAAAAAACATCCATATGAGAGAGACATCAATCAGTGGTTGCCTCCCACACGACCAACTGGGGCAGGGACTGAACCTGCAACTCAGGCACGTGCCCTTGCTCAGGAATCAAACTCACAACCCTTCGGTCTGTGGGCCGATGCTCTAACCACTAAGCCAAACCAGCCAGGGCTGTAATTTATTTTTATTAGGCATATAATATAGGCTTGTTATAAGAAGTCAAGCAGTGTCACTCTGGCTAGTGTGACTCAGTTGGTTAAGCACTGTGCTGTGTACCAAAAGGTCACTGGTTGGATTACTGGTCAGAGCACATGCCTGGGTTGCAGGCTTGATCCCTGATAAGGGGGCATGCACGAGGCAGCTGATTGATGCTTCTCACTCTCCTTTCCTCTCTCCCTCTAAAATCAATTTTTAAAAAAACATTTAAAAAGAATCTAATCCATGACCTCTCGATCCACAACACAACACCCAACCAAATGAGCCACACTGGCCAGGGCTAAAGGTGAATTAAAAAAAATTTTTTTAATTGATTTTTTTTTAGAGAGGAGGAGGTGAAAAGAATGAAAGAAAGAGAGAGAGAGGCTCTGGCCGGTTTAGCTCAGCAGTTAGAGTGTCAGCCCATGGACCAATGAGTCACGGGTTCAATTCTGGCCAAGGGCACACACCTAGGTTGCAGTTCGTCCCTGGCCCTGGTCAGGGTTGTGCAAGACACAACCAGTCGATGTGTTCCTCTCACGTCAATATTTCTCTCTCTCTCCCTTTCTTCCTCTATCTCCCTCCCATTCTATCTGCAGATAAATAGAAAAATATCCTCAGGTGAGGAATAAAAAAGAGAGAGAGATTTGTTGTTCCACTTATTTATGCATTCATTGCTTGATACTTCCTTTCGGGGAACAAACCTGCAGCCTTGGTGTATCGGGAGGATGCTCTAATCAACTGAGCTACCCAGCTAGAGACAATCAGTAGATCTTTAACTTGGAAAGATGACCAAAGGTCTTTGTTAAGGAAGAAAATGTGGTGTAAAAACAGTATTTGTACCAACATCCATTCATGTAAAACAAATTATTTTAAAACGCCATGACAACCCTGGCTGGTTTGGCTCAGTGGTTGGAGCGTTGGCCCACGGACCAATGAGTCTTGGGTTTGATTCTGGTCAAGGGCATGTACCTAAGTTGCCGGCCCTAGTTGGGTCATGTGGGAGGCAATCAGCTGATGTTTCTCTCTTCCTCTCTCTCCCTCCCACTCTATCTGATAATAGGTAAGAAAAATATCCTCAGGTGAGGAATAAAAAAATAAAAACCCCATGACAGTGCTGGACGGTTTGGCTCAGCAGTTAGAGCATTGGCCCAGGGATTGAACAGTCCCAGGTTCAGTTCCTGCTAAGGGCATGTACCTCGGTTGCAGTTAGTCCCCAGCCACGGTTGGGGTCGTGTGGGTGGCAACCACTCGATGTGTCTCTCTCACATCAATGTTTCTCTCTTTCTCTTCCTCCCTCTCTCCCTCCTACTCTATCTGAAGATAAATACAGAGATGTCTTCAGGTGAGGATAAAAAACATTTAATAAAACAAAAACAAAAACAAAATCCCCATGACAGCAAGAAGCTTGTCAATTTTGTTCACTGCAGAGTCCCCAGCACTTAAAATGAGTGCTCCAAAAAGTAAACATTGAATGAATATGCTTATACTTGCATATCTGTGCTTTTATTTGCATATAGAGATGGCTATAAAAGAAGTTGTTTATAATGGACAGCACTTGTAGGCTCGTGCTTTGAAGACTTTTAAAACGTGTAAAATGTATGTAACATAAAATTTACTAATTTAACCATTTTCATGTGTACAATTCAGTAGCATTATGTATATTTGCATTGTTACATAACCATCACCACTATCCATTTCCAGAACTTTTATATCATCCTAAACTGAAACTCTGTACCTAATAAACAGTAACTTTCACTTGTCCCCAGTAACCACCATTCTACTTTCCACCTATGAATTTGACTACTCTAGGTACCTCATATAAGTAGAATCATATATTTGTCCTTTTGTGTCTGGCTTAGTCACTTAGCATCACATCTTCAAGATTTATCCATACTGTAGCATGTATCAGAATTTCATTCCTTTTTAAGGCTGAATAATATCCCATTATACATAAACACACACACACCCATTTTGTTTATTCATTCATCAGCGGACATTTTGGCTAAGGTAAATAATGTTGCTAAGAATACTGCTGAACAAATATCTGCTCAAGTCTGTTTTCGATTCTTTTGGGTATATACTGTTGAGAAACTTTTTGTTAGTCCTCACCCAAGGATATTTTTCCATTGATTTTAAATAGAATGGGAGGGAGGGAGGAAGAGAGAAACATCAATGTGAGAGAGACATTGATTGGTTGCCTCCTGCACTACCCCAACCAGGGCAGGGCCAGGATCAAACTGCAACAGAGGTATGTGCCCTTGACTAGAATCAAACCCGAGATTCTTTGGTCCTCGGACTGAGGCTCTAACTCCTGGGCCAAACTGGCCAAAGAGAAACCTTTTTTTTCCTTTACTGATTTTAGAGAGAAAGGAAGGGAAAGAGAAAAACATTGATGAGAGAGAATATCAATTGGCCACCTCCTGCATGCCCCCCACTGGGGACTGGGCCCACAACCTGGGCATGTGCCCTGACTGGGAACTGAACCAGTCATCTCTTGGTGCATGGGTCAATGCTCAACCACTGGGCCACACCGGCTGGGCCAAGTGAAACTTTTATGTTTTTATTTATACCTTCCTGTACTACTTGACTTTTGCCATAAACATATTTCCTTTAATAATAATAAAAAACCCTAAAGGTAAGAGTGGTCAAATCATACTTATTCTTCCTCCCCAAGAAAAAAGTTGACTTTGCTCCTTGAGTTCCTTCTTCCTTCCATTGTTAGTCAAAATCAAGTTCAGTCTCCTCCTTGAAAGTATTTCATTGTCTACCAGATGCTCCCTTAGTGTGGTCCACAGTGTTCTGTGTTTATGAGTCTCTGACCTAGAGTAAGGTTATCTAAATTCTATATTTCTTACAAGTTAAGATCATGAAAATAAAGATTTCTGTTTTTGTTGTTTTATTTTAATAAAAAATGACAAAATGACACAAAGGAGTTTTTTGTTTGTTTGTTTGTTTTTTACCCTATTAATAGATGTGGATAGGCCTTGGGCACTTTAGTTCTACAGTTTCTTATTGTTTTCCCCAACAGTGAGGCCACAGGTCAGGGACTTATCACTGCTTTTGCTACTGTGTATCTTATACTAATTAGAGAAATATTTCTTTGTGCCCAAGTCTCTGTCAAAAGTGGAAAATTAGCCCTGGCCAGTTTGGCT